TTACTAAAATCTTAAAACAAAAACAAAAATAAAAACATGTATTCTTAAAACTTGCTCTAAGAGTCTTCCCAACTTAGTGATTAGCTTTATCCAGCTTGACCTAATCCTTTCCTCATTCGTTCCTTACTTCCTTTTATTCAGGGAGAACTCCTTCTGTATGTTAAATATGAGAATTTCCATTGCTTCTCTCTGGGCACTGGACAGCACAACATCAACTACTTTTCTACTACCTAAATTCAGAGGAGGCTATCTCCTACTGCCCTTCCGTATGTCTAGGAGAGATGGTATTTCTTTCTTCTGCAAACCTGGAGGACCCTCTGTGGTCATTCTTTGATTTAAACACCACTCATTAAGTACTTGCTCTATGCAACCAGTTGGGCTCAGAACTAGGCAAAGACATAGGAAAAGAAGACATGGCCCCAGCCCTTGGTGCTCTCGTCATGTGCTCAATCAGGGGCCTGAGGTTGCAACTCTCAGGAATATCCCTTTGTTTTATTTGCTTGTTAAAATGTTGATAATCTTTTGCTGTGGAAAATTTCAAGCATATAGAAGTAGAGAGAGTAAGATAATGATTCCATTTTACCCATCACTTGCTCCAGCAGTTATCAACTCATAGCCAATCTTGTTTCATCTGTATGTCTACCCACCTGCCCATCCCCTGGATTAATTTTGAAGCAAATCCAAGATATTATATAATTTCATTGGTCAATATTCCAGAATATATCTCTAAAGTATGTTTGTAAAAGATAAGGACTGTTTTAAAAAATATATAATCACAATGCCCTTATCCCCCTTAACAAATTAACAGTATTTCCTTAGTATAATCAAATCTCCAGTCAGTGTTCAGATTTCCCAGATGGTCCTATGATGTTTCTCTTAGGTTGTTCAATTCAGGATCTGAATATAGTCTGTACGTTGCAACTAATTGATATGTCCCTGAAGTTTCTTTAATAGATAGGTACCTTTGCCAACTCTCTTTTTGTCTTGGCAGTTTCTTGGTTGAAGAAACAGGGTCATTTGTCCTCTAGTTTCCCACTATCTAGATCTTGCTATTTGTATCCCATAGATTGTTGAACATATTTCTCTATCCCACATATTTTCTGTAAATTGTTAGTTAGATTTAGTGGCTTGATCAGAATCAAGTTTGTTATTTTTGGCAAGAATACTTTATGATGACTGTCGTTTTATTTTTAATCTACAGCCACTAGATAGTCCTCCCACAATTACATGATACTTAGTTAGAAGATGGTTTTTCTGAATGTCTAAAGATAGGAAGTATCCAAACACCTAATTATTCCAAAGGGATTTTCAGAGAACGATTGTATTAGTTTTCTATTGCTGTTGTGATAAATTAGTACAAACTTTGTCACTTAAGCTACAAATTTATTGTCTTATAATTCTGTCGGTCAGAAGTGCAATATGGGTCTCACTGGGCTAAGATCAAGGCATTGGCAGGGCTGGGTTCCATTTTGGAAGCTCCTGGGAAGAATTCATTCCCTTGCGTTTTCCAGCTTCTAGAGGCTACCCACTGGCTCATGGTTCCCTTCTTCAGTCTTCAAAGCCAGCAAGTTGCATCTCTCTGACCCTTGACCCTTCTTCATATCTCCCTCTGATTACAGCTGGGAAAGGTTCTCTGTTTTAAGGACTCTTATGATTACATTGGGCCCACCTGGACAATCCAGAATAATCTCCCATCTCAAATACCTTAATCTCAATCACATCTGCAAAGTTCCTTTTGTCATGTTAGGTCACATATTCACAGGTTCCAGGAATTGGGATGTGGACATCTTTAGGGGGCCATTATTCTGCGTAGCACAATGGTCATCCATTTTTTAAAATTAACACCATTATAAAATTGAAGGATGATTAGTAGAGTGTGGGTATGTTGCAAATGATCTATTGTGAGACAATAACTTGGGTTATGTGATAGGGTAGGGCAGATTATAGTAATGAGCTATCATCATGACATCATGGTAGTTTTATATGTTCTGCATGACTGTCTGCCTTGTTCTTGATTGTTTATATTTTTTTGCAAGTAACATCATTTTATTTTGCTTGTTGTATCTAAGGTGATCATACCACCTCCCCTTAGAAATGCTGCTCTAGGACTTGGAGATGCTCAGGTCAATATTAATATTACATACACAGCATCTCATCTGGACCTCCTCTGTCTTTGGATTATGGAATGCAAATTTATCATAGCACTTAACCATAGTGAGGAGGTGCTAAATTCTTGTAGAAATGATTTGAGTGGAGCAGAATTTTTAGCCCTCTTTCTGTTTTGTATTAGAGAACCTTTAGGTAGTTATGTCAGACAGTGAGTCAAGGTTGAGAGAAAAGAGTGCAATGTAGGTATTTTTCATTCATAGTCTATGTCTCTACTAGATAAAGCAGCTTTATAACTTTAATGATTCTTTTCATAACTGAAAACTGTAGAAGCATCTCTTCTCCTCTTTTTTTTTTTTAAAGATTTTATTTTTCTCCTTTTTCTCCCCAAAGCCCCCCGGTACATAGTTGTATATTCTTCGTTGTGGGTCCTTCTAGTTGTGGCATGTGGGACGCTGCCTCAGCGTGGTTTGATGAGCAGTGCCATGTCCGCGCCCAGGATTCAAACCAACGAAACACTGGGCCGCCTGCAGCAGAGCACGCGAACTTAACCACTCGGCCACGGGGCCAGCCCCGTCTCCTCTCCTCTTTTTAAATTGTCTTACCTTTTAATTTGTGTTGACGCTTGACCCTCAGTCCTATATACGGATTCTTCTTGGGATGCATTTGGAACTTTACTATAACATCAGTCATCCTAGAGCAGCACGAGGTTGATGATAGATTTATCTTGGAGGCCATCCAAGAGGTTGTTACTAAAGACCAAAAGGACCTCATTATAAAGTGATTTTGCTATAAAATGGTCCCTTGGAACGATCCCTGGAGACAGCAGGTCATTTGTATGGTTAAAAAAGTATGTAGTGTCAAAAAATGTCACTAAAGGGTCCTTACCTCACACCATTAGTTTAAATAAATTCCAGATGAATTAACGAGTTAAGTGTAATGGCTTAATTCCATCAAAAGACTAGGCAAAAAATATAAGTAAATGTTCATGTGATCTTGGGTAAGAAGACCTTTGTGATTTCTGCTTTTGTCGATATTCCTTTACGTGAAACAGTTGTTTTAAGAACTGTCAACAAGCGAAGCTGAAGCAGCGTGTTGCCTTCATTTGGCGTATTGCTTGCGCAGAAAGAGTCATTAGACTCAGCCTCCGAATGTGCTTCCCCGGGCACCTGAAAGCAAAGGGAAAAGGTTCTTACAAAGAGATCACTGAGACTGCCTAGTTAAAAAAAAAAAAAAAAATCAATTTTAAAGGAAGAATCTTGAGTTACTTGAGTTCTTTTCTCTTTAAATTTTCAAAATTTAGAAAAGTAATACATTTTCAGTTTTTAAAACAAAAATGCTATTTTACTACACATTGTTCTGTATCCCGCTTTTTAACTTAATAACATCTCATGAACTTTTGTCAATTTTAAAATAGACATGTGCAATATCACTTTTAATGGCTACATAGTGTTTTACTGTGTCGATACGCTCTAAGTCTTTAAACAGATCCTTTTGTTTGGGCGTTTAGGTGGTTTCCTATTTTTCACTATTATTAATGCATCAGTCTGGGTCTAATCAGGAGAAAAATTTGAACAGGGAAAGTTTAACATACAGAATTACTAACTATAACAGGAAATTAGAGTAATGAGGGATCCACTGGCAAGAGAGAGAGAGAACAGAAATAGCAGGTGAGGTGTAGTCAGCAGCCCTCCGCTGAGATAGAGGCCCGAGGAAGCGCCCCGCGGCTGGGGTTGAGGCACAGATGTTACTGAAGAGGACGCAGCTGGGGTCACTCGATTTCAGAGAAGTCGCCCTGGTGCCCAGCTGAGCCAAGCCGGTGGAATGTGCTAGAAAGCTGCCCTCTAGGGTCCTAGGGAATACTGTTGATGGGAAAGTGTCTAACTGGAGGCCCTCTGTTATAAAACTGCCCAAAGAGGGCTGTGTCGGGAGAGGTTGCCGGCCTGTGGGTGCTGCTGGTACTGGACACTGAAGGAGCTGGATGCTGAAGAAGCTGTAGGCGCTGCAGGAGCCTGGCGACAGAGCAGGCTGGAGGCAGGAAGCAAACCCTTTTCTCCTGTAACGTCTCTGCAGTCTCCTCTGCTGACAAAGCTGGCAAAGAAAAAATATTTAAAGGCTCCAGATCCATTTTCACAGATCAGTCAAAAAGGGTGAATTTGGAGCTAAGAGGCAATAAATTGATGACCAGCACAGGAAGCAGTGTTTCAAAGAATATCCTTATGTATACCCCACTGTGTACTATCTGAATGTTTTCTTACATACATTCCTAGACATAGAATTGATAGATAAAAAGGTAGGCACAGTTTGCTCTCTAGAAAGGTGTATTAACTCTCTCCCATTACACAGTAGTTAGGAGCTTCTTGTTCTTCACACTTCAGTTAACCCTGGGTGTTAGCATTCTTTATATTCCTTACAAATCTGATAAGTCAAAAAAAAATTCATTATTGTTTTTTATCGGTATTTAAAAAAAATTAGTAGTGATGTCAGAGCTTTTATTTGTTTATTTTCTCGTGTTCTTTTGTGAGTTTCCTGTCTAGATCCTTTGCCCATTTAAAAAAATTGGAATATTAAGTCTTTCTGTTGATTGTACATGCTCTTTATGTGTTAGTATTAGAAAATTTAAACATTTCTATAGTCAAAGTTTATATTACTTCATTTTTATTATTTAAAAATGTAAGTCATCTGGAAATTATTTTAGGTCAAGGCATGAGGTAGGTATTTAATTAAAAAAATTTTTTTTCCAATAATGTTAACTGTTTTTCTCTTTTCCTGACTGATTTAAAATGTTACTTTTATCATATATTGAATTGTGTTACATACCTGGGTATATTTCTGGACTTTAAATCGTTTCCCTTTGGCTTTTAGTTAGGTAATTGTTTTTCTTTTTCTTTCAGAACAGGACGCGGGCCTTGATGCCCTTTCCTCCATCATAAGTCGCCAGAAACAGATGGGGCAGGAAATTGGGAATGAGCTGGATGAACAAAATGGTAAGCACATGCCTGAGACTGACCAAATTTGCCATTTAGTATAAAAACTAAAAGCTTAAATATTGGTTAAATGACTTTAATATTACAAAACATGTAAAGTGGTTTAACATCAATGGATTATTATAGTTTAATGCAATTGAGGGTGGTTTGTGGCAGATTTAGATTATAGTTACCAAATACTGTGTCAAGAAATTTGATAAAACATTTCCAGTTCTCTGTAGCTGCTTTTAAAAATACTTTGTCTTGTGATCCATTTATCCCACGAGCTTTCCTTTATGTGGTCATGCAATGAAATGGCACAGTGTAGTCTACACTGATGAGGCTCACCGAGGCTGTGGAGACTCCGGGTCATCTACACACCCAGTAGAGTTGGCGCCTCTCTCATCCTCTTCCAGGCTGCAGGGCAAAAAGCAGTGCTCCAAGACATTTATTCAGGGCTTGATGTGACGAATCTGGCTGGAGAAACATTAATTTGCAAACCATGAGCAGATGGCTTGGGAGAGCCAGACCTTTAAGCTGGGAGCCTACCCGAAAGGCTCTTGTGCGTGAGGTGTGTGTTGTGAGGATGTGGGAGCCTGAGAGGGGGTTGCAGCAGTAGGAATGGAGAAGAGAGGTCGGATGCAGGGGACTGATGGCCCTTTTACTGTGATGGACACGGGGGAATTGGAGGGTCACTGGTTTGTGAGTGGAGAAAATTATCTCTGTAGAAAATCCGCCTATCGTATGTATAGTTGTTCTTTATCCCAAGGAAGTTTAGCTTGTTCAGTGGGTCAGACTAGAAAGGATGCTAGCTACCATGCTGGTGAAGCTCGCCCATCCTATGAGGTGCTTAGATAAGCACCCGTAGAGTAACTCTGGGTAGATGGTTAAGAATTGATGCATACTTTGGTGAAGTGACTTGCTGACTTTGCAGGTCAAATCACCCTGCATTTTTGCCCACATAAGCAATCACGCCAGTATGTCCTTATCTTGTCTTTCCTCTAGTTCAATGGTTATCACACTTTGCTGCATTTTAGAATCACCTGGGGAGCTTTTAAACCTCCCAAAGCCCAGGCCATACCTGAGTTGGTGTTCTGTTGTTGCTGTAACAAATTACCGCAACTTACCTTACAGTTCTGGAGTCTGACATGGGTCTTACTGGGCTAAAACCAGGTGTCGACAGGGCTGCATTTCTTTCTGGACACTCTGGGGGAGAGTTAATTTCCTTATCATTTCCAGTTTCTAGAGGCTGCCTGCATTCCTTGGCTTGTGGCCCACTCCTCCATCTTCAAAGCCGGCAACAGTAGATTGAATTCTTCTCACATTGCCTCACCCTGACCTCTAACTTCTGTCTCCCTCTTCCACTTTTAAGGACCTTTGTGGTTGCAGTGGGCCCACCCAGATAATCCAGAATAATCTCCCTATTTAGGGTGAGCTGATCTAGCAACCTTAATTCCATCTGCAACCATAATGCCCCTCGGCCTTGTAACCTAACATATTCATAGATTCCAACATGTAGACTTCTTTAAGGGGCCACTAATCTGCCTACCGCAGTACTTTATACCAATTAAATCATAATCTATATGGTGAAGCCTAAGCATCAGTATTTCTTAAAGCTCCCTAGATGATTTCAGTGTGCTGCCAAGCTTGAGAACCAGTGTCCTTGTTGAATAGGCTGAGAGAACATGTTTGCCACTCTGTTTTTATATTACCTCTCCTGTGCTCACATTACAGATAGAAATCCCACACGAGCACAGAAGAACAGTCGCATAGTTACACATACACCTCTGCCATCCCAGCTGCAGTCAGGGACTCTTTCTTCTCATATCACACTCTACCCCCATCCTTTTCACCTCTTCCTCCCTGCCTCCCCAGTCCTCATCGCCATTCCAGACCCGGATGCATACATGTGTATGGAGACAAACATGGGGTATTTTTCCATTCGTTGCCAAAATAAGCTGGGTTTTCTCTGTGGTGGCCTCCCAGAGAGATTGCAGTTATGCTGGTGGTTTTCTAATATGCACATTTGCTCCTCAGAAATAGGGCAGAGTCAGCCATTTTCTTTCATAGGAACTGAGAGCCTCTCTGAGGATAAAAAATTATATCCCTGCTAGGATTATAATCAGCCTTTATTCCTTTTGTCAAAATCAAAAAGGCCATTCTGTCTATAGGTGTGGAGAGCATGGTTGCACCCCTATCTGGGTTTCTATTGTGACCCGAGTGTATAATGGGAGTCTGGGACACTGGAGAAGGATACCACTTTTGCTGTAAATATCTCTGTTTGATTTACTGACCCACTGAATTATTCTTTTGGTTTTCTTTAAATGAGAGAAACAATTGTCCAGGATAATGGCCAGCCAGACCAGCTTTTAGAATCAAGTATCAAATCCTTACTAACAAAATACACTGTACTTAGAACATAACCACAAAGCTGAAGGGTTGAATTATCATCAATTTAGGAATTCAGTTTCCAATCTTCTCATATAGAGTTAAAAAGGGCCTGGCCAACACCAGTAATGAACCTTGTTCATATGCCAGTGACCGAGCCTAATGAGGAAAAGGATTAGCAGTTAACTGAAGATGCCAGTGATGGAGGACCTCGGTGTATGCTGGATGTGGGGGTTGGTAGCTGGTGAAGGTGGGGGATGGTTGGGGAGAAGGATAGAGAGCCAAACCAAGGAGATCACCTCATGGAACCACAGAGTTAGTGCCCTTCAGTTCAAGGTGAACCGTGTTGGTTCACCTTGATCACGATGAACTGGCTAGGCACAAAGGGCTCATGTGAGACTGCTCAGATGCTGTTCCAGAATGAAGACTTGTAGTACTGGTTTACTGAAAAATTCCTTAAAGTTCATGCTCAAGAGGGCAGTGCCTTTTGAAAAGAACATTAAGACAAGAAACTGAACGGAATTGACTTGGCTAAAGTAGACAGTCTGAGACATAATTTTGGCCTTGGCCAAACCTTGAAGGCAGCACCAAGAAGAGCCATAGAGGTGCAGTTCTGATGGATGAAATAGTGCCAAGAATAGGCTGTTTTGCAGATCTCTGCTAGTGCATGCCAGTCCTTGCCATTCTTTTTTCTTTCTTTTTTTTTTTTTAGTGAGGAAGATTGTCACTGAGCTAACATCTCTGGCAATCTTCCTCTATTTGGTATGTGGGACTCTACCACAGAACGACTTGATGAGCAGTGTGTAGGTCCGTGCCCGAGATCCAAACCCAAAAAAGGAATTTTTCAGTAAACCAGTACCACAGTTCTCCATTCTGGAACAGCATCTGACATGAGCCCCTTGTGCCTAGCCAGTTCATCATGATCAAGGTGAACCCTGGGCGGCCGAAGTGGAGTGCGTGAACTTAACCACTACGCCACTGGGCTGGCCCCTCGTCCTTCTTTTTGATGTTCAGATATTCCAAATTTGGCCAATCCTTTTCATGTTTCTCTGTCAATCTGTGAGGCTTTCGTCACTTTCTAGAAGAAACCAAGGTGACAAGGAAGGCCACTTTCTCAACAGTGGCAACATTGGGATTGAGGAGACCAGTGTTTCTTTGGAAGAGCTAGAAATATGACTGTGCTCCTTGAAAGACACAAAATGATCAAAATTTCATATGCATATCAGTGAATTACCATTGTAAGGGTCTGTTAGAGCCCCTCAGCTGAATTTCCATGTTGAGAGTTTAGCAAAGTAATGTGGTAGACTGAACACTAGCCCCCAAAGATACCCACATCCTGATCCCTGGAATCTGTGAGTGTTATCTTATGTGGCAAAAGGGGCTTTGCAGGTGTTAATAAATTAAGGATATCGAGATGGAGAGATTATCCTGGATTATGTGGTTGGAGCCTAAATGTATTCACAAGTGTCCTTATAAAAGGGAGTCAGAGGGACATTTGACAACAGAAGGTGATGACTGACTGAAGGAAGATGGTATAGTGCTGGCGTCAAGGGTGAGGGAAGGGCCCCGAGCCACGAGATGCAGGGAATGCGGCTCTAGATGCTGGAAAAGGCCCGGAAACAGCTTCTCCTCTTGAGCCTCACCCTGATTGCGGTCCAGGGAAACTGATTTCGGATTTTTGATCTCCAGAATTGTAGAGGAGTGAGTGTGTGTTGTTTTAAGCCACTAAGTTTGTGATAATTTGTTCGATCAGCAACAGGAAACTCATATAACTGTGTCTTTTTGTCAGTTGTCAGTGAATTCAGGTTAACTACTCTTATGCTAGAAAAATGTATACTGAGACCATCAATGTCTACAGCTTCTCTTACCTCTTGAAGAGACTTCCTTAAAGCAGCCTTCACAGAAGGGAGTTTGCAAATCTGGTGCCCTAGTCAGCCCCTGCCCCTCCAACTGTTACTTTAGCACTTTGATAACAGAATTTACTCTCGCACTGGTGAAATGTGGGGGCACTTTGGTGAAAGAATTTCCTTGTGGATTATCTGGTATCAGAATTTCCCAGTATATGTTAGGCAAGCTGATTTTAGGTAATATGTAGAGAAACAGTTTACATTTTAATAGTTGCATATTTCAACGTGTGATAGAAATAAAAATGACTAGCATTTGAAACCTGTGATTTCACAGTAATATAAAATTTTCTTTGTCAACTCGTATAAGCAGAAAAATAATAGTGAGTTGATGTGAAGGAAAACATTAGGCATATATGATCCAGGTAAAATATGAACCTGGCAGAAAGTTCTGAAGGTGGCATTTGAAATGCTGACGTTTGGCAAACACCGCTCTAAGAAGACTCTTTTGTTCGCGTCTGGGTTGCTGTAGAGCACTTGCTTGGTATTTGGCCTCATCCTAGTACAGTGCCCAGTGATTTAACACGTGCGCCCTTTCCGCTTGGCCCTCCTGGTGGTGAGATCACATGTTAGACGAATGCTGGGATCAGAAGATCTGCTGAAATGATGCCTTCCAGCCCTGCGAGCCTGTAACTGTGTAAGGTTTTGGCTGTGGCCGGAGTGATGTCGTCTGATGTCGCACCCGTGGAACTTAAATAGGCTTGCCATTTGAAGGAAGCAAGACAGGCA